CTTGGGGGGGCAGTCCTTCCTGGGGGGGGAGTCCTTATGGGGGGGAGTCCTTCCTGGGGAGGGCCAGTCCTTCCTTGGGGGGGTAACAGTCTTTCCTCGGGGGGCAGTCCTTCCTGGGCAGGTTTGGAACACGTGCAGAAGGCAAGTCACATACCCAGGGTCTCCAGTGGACTGGCCAGTCCTGAAACAGGTCGCCAGCCTTCCTGTCCCCAAGAGCCTTCCTTGGAGTCCTGTCCTGTCCCCCTGCTCTCCTGGTCAGGTGCAGGGACTTTCCATTCGGGGCTGACAGCACACGAGATGTACAAATGGAGCTATTCTTATTATTGTGTCATTACGTTATTATTGTCACAGACGGGATTGATTAGAAACCGTCAAAGCAAGAGTGGCCGGAAGGTCAGTGCCATGGGCGGGGAAGGGCCCACTGGGGATGGCCGAATTGCTAGGAAGGGTCTCTCGGAGGCGTCTCTGCTGGCCCGGAAGGAGGCGCAGCCGTGGGCACTTAGAGCATGGGCGGCCGGCAGAGAGGAGCACGTCAAACTCGGGAGACTGTGGTCACCGTCCCGGGAGTGAGAGGACCATCCCCCAAGGACTTCCGTCCTGAGGGGAAATTTAAATGTGTAAGCAAGCACGTCCTGAACCCCAAGGGGGTCCCCAAATCCTTCTGCCTCCGAACAGGCTGCGGGAAATGGGGGAGGCACGGGATGGAGATGCCCACGGGGCCCGCACACCCCGGACGGAGCCCGCACACCCCGGGCACAGCGCCTCGGGCCCCTCGAGCCTCCCGTGAGGAGCCGTGCAGGGCAGTCCCGAGTTACAGGGGAGAACAGGTCTGGGGACACCTTCCCAGGGTCCCCGGCCAAGACTTCTCCGGAGGCCTGTGCAGGGCCCAGGGCCGCTTCAGAGCAGCACACGCCTCCCCCGAGGGCTGCCTTGAGACTCACAGAAGAGGCCTCTTCGGGTGGCCCGGCAGGCACAGCCCCAGCCCCGTGCGTCCTGGGGGACAGTGGCCTCAGGGACAGGGATCCGCCACGGCCACCGAGGTGGGCAAGGTAGGCGGGGGCCGGAGCCCCCAGCCCTATAGGACTTGCTTCAGCTGCTGGCTGTCAGGCTCCACGTTGTCTGACTCAGCAGGAAGACCGATCCTCGCCCTCCGAGGACGACAGTGGTGCAACCAAGTGACACGAGAAACCCGCTCGTTTCTGACAAGCACTGAGCCGGGGCCCAGCGCTCCTCATTCTGTCCTGTGACAAAGGTCAGATGTTCCTGGTGCTTGTTTTTCGAAGCAGACACCAGCAAGGCCTGCCCACCGCTGCTGCGGCTGTCGGCACACTTGGGGTCTTCCGTGTGTCCTGAGAATGGAGGGGCCGGAAGAGGGGTCCGGGGCCGGACCTGGAGTCTTCAATGGGCCCCCCTTCCCTTCTGTGCTGGTCAGAGCCCCTCTGCCTACCGTGAAGGAAGGAAGCTTCCAACCCCTGGGGGACCCCGGCCCCACCCACGACCGCTGTCTGGTTGGCCATCTGGGGGGACCTGTCTCCTGCTTGCCCCGCACACCGTCCTGCCGCCCTCTGACAGACGTCCAGGGGCTGCCCTGGAGCAAACGGAGGCCAGATGAGGGCCGCGGGCCCTCCAGAAAAGGTCAATACAAAGGACAAAATGAGTCGTGTCAATCCGGACCCACCTCCCCTCCGCCCAGGCGGCCCCTCTTGGCGAGCACTACCCCCCCCCCCGCCCACCCCCACCCCACCCCGAGGGCTCCAGTGACGCAGGCCCGGCCACGAGCATCCCCTGGGACGCTTGCTGGGGCTGCTTCAGTGAGTCCCCCGCCCCCCCCCCCCCCCCCCAGCCCCAGGCCCTGCCCCAGAATGAAGCCAGCCCAGGGGAAAGTGGTGAAGAGGTGGAGGCCAAAACAGATTTCCGATCACACGGTCGGAGGTTCTGGATCCAGCCCGAGCTTCAGAGCTCGCGGCCACGAGCCCCTAAATTGCCTTCTGAATTGGGTTTCTCTCCCCGGCCGACACTGAGCCCGTCCGGACTCCCGAGCGACGGCAGACCGCAGCCCACTGTGTGCCCACTCCTCCCCGAGCCCCTGTCTCCTCCCACGACGGGACACGCGATGCTGCCCGGCAAGGAGGGGAAGGGGAACAGGCGTGCCACCACGCACGAGTCTCAAGAAAAGCCCAGGCAATGCCAGGCAGAGCCGGCCACACGCTGAGGCGTGCGCTGAAATTTCTGGAAAAGGCAGACCTGATCTCTGCCGACAGAAGGTGGATGGAGGGGGCGTGCGAACAGGACCCCCATGCCTCGCGGCTGCACGGAGGCCCATAAAGGTGGCCGAGCAGAGGGCTGGAGGGGCCATGGGCCCAGGGAGGGGCGCGCGCGACAGGGGCTGAGTCCTCCTCAGCGGGGTTGCCAAGGAAAGCCCACAGTCCCCAGCCCGACCGCCTCGGTCTGAGCCTCACCCCACACGCGCCATCCCCCTGCCTCCCCAGACGTGACCGTGAATCGGCTCTCTGTGCGTGTGTGTGCGTCACCCCTGCCTGGGTGTGCCTGTGCGTGTGTGTGCGTGTGCAGGTGTGTGTCCCCAGCTGTCAGTGCTGGGCCTTGCACAGAAACAGACGGGCAACAGATAAGGACAAGTGCACTGGGGCGCCAGCCGCGCGGGGTGTGAGTGGCGCTGGCACTTGGACGTCTGATGGAGGCAGTGTTTCCCCAGGACGGGAGCACTGTCCCAGGAGGTGCGGGGCAGGGGTGAGGACAACGGACCAGGCTGGATGCTGAAAACACACACCGCCTTCATTACACAACCACACGAGCTCCAGATACAAAGCTCTTCAGAGGCCGTGGAAACAGCAGGGAGGGAACTTTCCAGCTCGAGGACCCGCCTCCCCCACCGCCACGTGCCCACCCTGTCCCCGTGAGGAAGGACACTCCGTCTTGCTGCCACTCACTGTCCACGTACAAAGCATCTGGGGTCACTTACTGGAAAAGCATCTTAACATTTTCCAAGAAAGAAGAATCTCTTTCAAAGGCACATATTCTTTTCTCTACTGAAATGTAGCGACATTTCAGGGCCCCCTCGGAGTAAAGAATGTCCAGGGCAGGAGCACAGGTCGGGGGAGCGGGGGTTCTGAGAGGCGGGGGGGCGGGCGGGGGGTCTCTTTCTCTAGGAGCTCAAGGCCCAGGATCAGGAAGCAGCCAGGCCTAAAGCTGTCAGGCACACGGCCTTGGTCCGGGTGGCTGTCGGCAGGGACTGGTGACCGCCATTTCCTTCTTCAACAGCTTCCGGAGGCCACAGGTCCCCCTGGAGACCCGGAAAGCCGAGTTCCCGCCCCGGGCCCACCCCCGACTCCCGTGAAGGTTCTGGGAGGCACATTGCCTTCACCAACGTTCGCCGGCTTCCTTGACAAAAGTGTCCAAGGACAGTCTCGGCCGGAGCATAGGGCCAGGCGAGGACCCCATCGAGGGACCCTGAACTCACAAGGGACCCCACAGCCGGGTGCTAGGGACAAGAGGCACCGTGGGGACACATGGGGGGCACCCTGGCCAGCGAGGCCTAAAGAGAGGTGGGGCGCTGGGGCCGGAGGGAGACAGAGGGCCAGGCCAGGCTGAGGTGCTGCAGGAGGCCCGGGAGGCCTGCACCCTGAACTCCCGGGGAAGTCGGCGTGTCTCCAGGAGGGGACAAGTCCCCAGGTGGCCTCAGGGGCAGCCCAGGTAGGAAATCGTGGCTGGAAGGAACCCACCGCGGATGAGAGGGCTCAGCACCAGGGCCGCCGTGAGTGACCCGGGCGGTGATTGGAGTAGCTAATGATACGGAGCAGGGAAGGCTGGCCCCTATGCGTCCTCCGAGCACAGGGACGGGGCCACAGCTGCGGTGGGCTGTGACAGGCACCATCTGTGAGCGCTGGCCCCTCAGACCGTCTCCCCGGCGAGGGAGCCCCTGCCCGCTCTCCCCTGGAGCCTCACCCAAGGCGAGATACTCAGGCCCCCGCAAAGCCGAACGCTCAGCATGGCTGGAAACCACATGCGGGACCACCCTAGCGGCCCGAGCTCAGCCTGGACAAGGGCCTGGGTGGAAGGACGAGGCCAGGCCCCACAGCCCCGCGTGCCAACCCCAAGCTGAACTGGGCAGGGACTGCCGTGTGACCGTGGGCGCTTCCCTCACCCTTCTGGTGGCCACGCCCAGCCCCAAGGGGGACACAGACTCTGGGGCCATGACGAGCAGAGTGTGAGGCTGGAGGAAGTGTGGTCCCCAGGACGAACCCACGTCCCTGTGCCCTGGCCCCCTGCCTAGGCCCCGAGCTGGGCCCTGGTACCCGGTGGATGCCTGCTGCAGCTACTGGCCCTTGCTCGTGGGCACATCCAGCCGGGAGCCAGGCAGGCCGCCCAGGGGCAGGGACAGCCCCACCTCCGGACCCACAGCCCAGCCAGGGCTCAGGACAGAGCGTCTCCAGCTACAGAGAACATGGACCCACCCCCGGCTGCTGGGCTCCCGCTTATGCGCTCGCCTGCCGGGTGGGCCAGGCCTCTGTGCCCCCCCCCCCCACCCGGCTCTGGGAAAGCTGGGACTGGGCGAGGGGCTTCCCTGGGGGCCTCCCCCTGTTCATTCACCAAATGTCCGCTAAGCAGCTAATACCAGGAACCAGCAGGGGCCTCCGTGGCGCTTTCCGCGCACACTGTGCCGAACACGTGTCTCTGCTGTCCCTTTGGGTGGGGCAAACTGGGGCCCTAGGGCCAAACCCCAGATGGCTGCACGCACACTGCCTGAGAGCCGAGATGGCTTTTATATTTTTAAAGGATTGAGAGGGGAGAAAACCCCGTGACCGGTAAGAATTACATGGAATTCAAACATCAGCGTGCGCAGTATTTATTGGAACGTACCTAAGCCCATTTGCTCACGTATTGCCTGTGGCTGCTTACTGGGGCTGCCTGGCCGTGTGCCAGCCCCGCCGGGCACACTTTGGGCTGGTTTGGGGTCTGCAGTCACTTAACCCACAGCATCCGTGCGGTCACCCGTGGCAAAGGAAGCAGAGGGGTCTCTGGTCTACGCAGTGGGTCTCACGGGGGACCTGACCAAAGACAGCCTGCCAGGGGGCGGGAACCAGCAGCTCCCCCCTTTCCAGTAATTCAGGGGCTGGTGTCCATGGTGCAGGTGGAGATGGGAGCCGGTTTTGGTTGGTCCATCCTTCCATTTAGAGGGGAAAGCTAAGGCCAGGGGCAGGGGGCCCCGAGGCTAGACTGGACCCTGCCGTGACCCTCCTCCTGGGCTCCCCCTTCCTATCCTAAGCATCACAGAGGTTCTCGGGTCCTGGCACCAGCAGGTGTCAACACAGGTCAGAATCAGGACCACAGGCGCTGACCCAGAGTGAGGCTGCAGGGACAGGAAGGAAGGGGCAGGCTGGGGACAGGTGTCCTCACCCACGGCCGGGATCGTGTCCTGACTCAAACCGTAGCTCGTGTCCCAGGGGCCTTCACCGGTTTCAGGGTTTCCTGAGTGGGTGTCTGGCCAGGGCTGGCCTCTGGTCTCGGCACAGTATTTGCACAAGAACCTCCCTCCCGTGAGGACGGGACTCGGTTCCAGCCCTGCCGCGATGGGAGAGGGACGCGAACTGTGTCTGATCAATCGAAGAGCTGACTGATCTGCTCCTGGGCCGGTGGACAGCGGTGAAGACCGGTGAAGACCGGTATTCTCCTCTCCCGAGGACCCGTGGGGTGTGCCCCAGAGTCCCCAGCGAGGTGCCACATTTCACACTGGACCGAGAGCAGCCTCAGGCAGGAATGAGACAGACGGGGCGGGTGAGGTCCTTAGCTTGGGCTGGATTCCCAAAGTGGCCCCTTGGGCCGGAGCCCTGCCTCTCGTGTGAGTCCTGGGCACCCCCCCCACCCCACCCCCGGGCAGGGCGTGCGGGATCCCACTGCCCACGGCCGGTGGTGCCAGGGCCTGAAGCGACTTCCGGACATGCAGTGCGGGGCCTCCCCGGCCACCACCAGAGCCGTTCCTAAGGCCATCGGCGTGACAGGGGCGCCCGGTATGGTGAAGGGCCTTCGGGCCAAGGTCACCCTCAAGGAGAAAGGAGAGCCTCTCGGGGACCGGCAGGATGCAGGGCGCCAGGATAGACTTCCCGGCAGCGCGCCGGTGTGGAAACGGACGGACGTTTTCACGGTACCCTGCTGAGGGCCGCGGGGGGCAGGCAGCCACAGCTGGCCACCATCCCGGCCGCCCCAGGGAGCACAGCTCCGAGGGACCCACACTCGGAGCAGGGTGGGTGGGTCTCGGGGGGGTTCAGCCGGGAGTCCCACCTGAGGCCGGTCAGGGGCCCGGGCAGGGTAGGGGTTTCGCTTACTTGGAGCTGAGCAGACCTCGCCGGGCCTCCGTGTGGCCTCCGCTGTGGCCTCCGCGTGGCCGCCGTGTCCTCCAGCCTGGCCGACGGTGCGATCAATGCGCAGCTACAGCTGGTTGAAGGGGACCAAATCCATTGAACAGTTGATTTGGTTCCATTTTACCAGCTTTAGCAAAGCATTTGGCTCCGGGATCCACGGGAAGCGGCGACGTGGATGACAAAGTCGGCCCCAGGGTGAGGTCCGGACGTGGTGGGGGCGCCCAGCCTCTGCCCCCACCTTGCCTGCAGGGCTCACCATGGCGGAGGGGCCCTCGAGCCCTGCAGGGGCCGAACGTGAGAGGGACGCGCTCAGGGTGGGGGTGGGGGGGCCCCACGCCGGACACACGTGCACGGGGCCCCCTGGGCAGAGGGGCTCCATCCAGAGCAGTGGCGCCCCGGCCCCCCACTGGTACATCAAGGACCCTGGCACCTGCCACTGGCCTCAGCCCCGGGGCCCAGCCAAGAAACATCAGGGCCCTGCCCTCATGGGGCTAACAGCCTGGGGAGAGAGACCACTTGCCCACCCCCACCCCCACCCCCGTCCCGGTCACATTCCCAGCCAGAGCTGACACCGGACAGGCCCCTGGGTCCCACCTGGGCCAGGCTGACCATGAGCCTGGCCTGCGGTGACCTCGGCCCAGCCTGGCCCTGGAGGGGTGGGTGGGCTCTGAGGGGGGAGGGGCTGGAATATTCCGGGACAGCACCCCCTTGTGTGGCTGGGGGAGGTGAAGCAGGACAGGGGCACCCACGGAGCTGACCGCATCAGTGCCCAGGGCCCTGCCCCCCCCCCAAACCCGCGACCTGTCGGGGACGTGACGGTGGTCCCCTTGACTCCCAGGAAGGGCCCCGCATTCAGTGTGAGGACAGCACCTGGCCAGCGGAGGCCGCAGAAACCTCATCACCCTCAGTGACTCTGACGGAGCAAGTTCCTTTTTAGAAAATTAGTTTTCCTGCCAGCACCCAATTCATCAGCATCGATGACGAGGGAGGACAGCAGCCTCAGTGCCAGGGACACTGCGTCCTGGGTGTGTGGACTTCCCTCTGAGCACAGACCAGCCTGACAGCAAGGGGTGACCGCACTGACCCGCCAGAGCCCTCGCTCTCTGCTCTGCCCTCCCGACACCGCGGGACCGATGCTCGGGGGGTGGGGCTGGGCCGCTCAGCATCATACACCCGGCCGCCCGAGGGCAGGAGAACCCGCAGACCACCCCCCTCCACACCTCAGCCCCCATGCCCCTCCCCAGAGAAGTGAACTGGTCGGTGCCACAGGGTCCTTCCTCTGGGAACAGCCTTGGCCGTTCCCTCGAGACCAGGCCCCGAAGTTCACCAGGAGCCCGGGGTGAGCCCCAAACCTCCGGCCTCTCATCCCACGACCAGCGGACGGCCCCGGAGGACGAGGAGCCGCCAGGTCCCAGCCCTGTAAACACCCTTTTTATTCTGGCTCCGGAGCATGGGGAGCGGGGGGGGGGGGGCCCGAGGACCCCCGGAGCCCGGCCCTCCCTTGCCCTCCAGAGAAGGCCCTGTAGACCGAGCGACTGGCCCGGCTCTGACCAGCCGGCCACTGTTCCAAACAGAGCAGGGATGTGACAAGCTGCCCCGGGCCAACACCGTCACTCCCGTGTCGACCCTGCGCCCAACACCATCGGGGCACCCGGCCCTTCCCCACCCCTTTGACACCCTACTGCCACGTTCACCACATCTGAGGGAATCTCCCCCAAATCACAGACCTTCTGCTTCCGCATGCTTCCCCTTTGGGGGGGGGGGGTTGGTCCCACCGCGGCCCTCGGCCGAGTCAGTCCAGCCCCGGCCTGTCCAGCCCCTGCTCGAGGCCGGAACACTCCGGGGCTCGAGTCCAGAGCCACCGATCCTTGTCCGTGAGCAGGTGGGAGCTTCGAACTCGCCAGGGAGCACAGCAAATGTGGCCTAGGGGTTTTAGCCCCAGCACTAGGCACGGGGCTGGCCGTGGGGTCTTGGCTGGGCTGTCTCGGCGAGCGCAGACCGAACCCCTGCGTGCCGGGCACCGGGATCCTGGCATCCCGTTAGAGGGCACTGGGCTCGGGACGCCTCCCTGTGGCCATTCTCCCGGGGGGAGTGGATGTCCAGCCGCCCACTCTCGCGCCCCCCCGCACGGCCTTGCCTGGGGAACGTTCTGGCAGCTCTTTCCCGGACGAGTGACTACCACACGTGACGGCGGATTTGGGGGGGCTCGCTGGGTCTGTGTCTGCAGTGGGGCTCCAGGGGGAGGCGGTCCCTGTCTCTCTGACTCAGTTGCCCAGTGACCGCGTTGACTCAATTTGGCAGATTTTTCTGCCTTCCGCCACCCCAGCATCCCGGGGTCTCAGTCTCTGTCTGGGGCTCCCGACTTCCCCGCGAGCCCCTGAACGACCCGTGGCTCAGCCCAGGTGCCTCTCAAGCCCACCCTCCCGGGAGCCCCCCGCCCAGCTCGGGCCCTGCCACTCACCTCCACCAAACGGCCTCCGGAGCCCCCGCAGCCCCTCACCCCCACCGCCCGCTCTCTGGAACCCTGACCCTGGGGCCACAAGGAGGCGCAGAGAGACCGAGCCCAGGGGACTCCAGAGAAAACGGACAAGGCTAGTGCCAGGCCTTCACCATGACTCGCAAATGCGCCACCGAGTGTGCGTTTACGTGCGCGGTGCGTCCCGCCGTGACACAGGTAAGCTTGTCCTGGGCAGGGACTGCGCCCCAGGCCTGGGCTGCAGGGCCCCGAGTTCCGGTGAATGTACCATCTGCCGGAAAGGCAGGCCGTGGCTGCAGCCGGGTAGTGCTTTTGCCCGAACCCCTCCCCGGCCCTTCTGCCTCTCCTTCCGCTAGGGCACGACAGACCGAGGCTGCAGCTAAGACACTCTGTGCATTTTATGAGCAAAACAACTAACTAGGTTTTAAAACATCTGCTGACGGAATTGTCCCACGCGGGGAAGTACGCTCAGCGTTTTTGAAGCAGCAGCTGACGCTGGATGTGGGGAATCACTGCGGAAAACACCAACGGCCCTGTTAAAATCGATAGAAAATTAGACGCTATGAACATGCACTAGGTGTCCAATTAGTTACAATTGGAGCAAACCACCGCGTAGATGAAGGCGCGGTGTGTTCGCCAAGACGCGTGGCTGGCGTCGCCCCGAGAGGTCCCGGTGGGGCAGCGACAGCACCAACGCGAGAGCCGGAGGCCTGTGGTGCTGCCGGCACTGCCCCCAAGTGCCCCCCCCCCCCCGGGGCCCAAGCGGCAGCTGGCACCTCTTCCGGGAAGCTCTCCGGCATTTGGCGAGGGCCCTGGACTCAGCAGGGACTCAGTGAGCGGCTGAGCTCCCCGGACAACCTGGGCCACACCGGGCTGCCCCTGTACCCTAAGCTGTCCCAAAGTCCGACCCACCCGTCGGGGGCTCTCGGCGGGCTTCCTCGGCCTCTCTGAGCCTCAGTTTCCCCATGTGAGAGGGCCGGCCACGCCCTGCCCGTAGCCGATGTCAACCCAAGCCCCGTCACGGCGGTCACCGCCGTCCCAGCTCAGTGAAAGGCCCTGGCCATTGTCCCTCAAGGGCAGCGAGCAGCGTCTCTCCCACGCCGCCCCACCGCCCCTGGCCCAGGACCCCAGGGCGCAGCGTTCACTTTGGGCAGAAACCACACAGACTCCTCCAGAAGGAGGTGTCAGTGGCCCGGCACACTGAGCACTGCAGCCCGAGTCCCGGGGAACAGGTGGCACCAGCTTCTGCTCAAGTGCAACCAACAGCCCAGACAGACCTGCAGCTAAAGACACGGCCCTTGGAGGTCACAGAGCAGAGGTGACGCGAAACCCCCCCCAGCCCTGCGAGCACATACCCACCCGGGGGCGGCCCCCCATCCACATGCCCACCCGGGGGCGGCCCCCCCAGCCCCCCAAACACATACCCACCCGGGGGCAGGCAGCCTGTGGCCGCGACAATACCTTACACAGCTAACAGATCCCTTCCCTCCACCAGGAGGTACCAACAACTCACATCTGGATGCGTCTGGTGTTTTTTACTACGAAGCTTTTAAAATTTAAACATAAGTAACCTAATACATCTCCAGCAGCAACATTACCTATTAGCACTCAGATTCACCACTAAATTAATTTTTAATTCCAAATTTCGGTTAATTATTAAAATAAATAGCAAAGAACGACAGTTGGCCCCAGGAACGTGAGCAGCCCGGCCAGGGCTGTGCCGAAGGAGCCTTCCCGGGGATTCTGTTCGGGCTGCGGGGTCCTTACAAAGGAGTCTCGGGGGAGACCCGCGGTGAAAAGGCAAAAGCAAGCCCCGCCCCCAGACATTTCTCATTCTCGCGACGCTGACCCAGCCAGGTGCCACACAAGACCCGCTCGGCCCAGTCCCGTAACTTTTCTGTCTATTCGAAAAAATATGTATTCTTTCTCAACACTGATAAAAGTTTAATACGGAGTTGCCCGGGTTTTTAATAAACTTGTCGACAAAAGAGCAGGGCAAATTGATGGGGCCCCTCCTAGAGATAAATTTCACCTCAAACAGACCCAAAGAGCACGGGGACAGGCCGAGGGGGAGGCACGATTGTTTTGCTGTTCTTTGCAAAAAGTGGTAAGATGGATTTTTGTGTCTTATTAGCTCACACATAGGGCCGGGGTAGAAGCAGGTATAATTTCAGGAAAGAAAGCCGCTTGGCTGAGAACCAGATCCGAGAGCCCTGAGGTCAGGGGACAGTGGCAGCTCGGGAGCAAATTAGCAGCCAATGTGCTCGGAGATAAGAAGAAGCCACCAGGCTCCGTGGTCCGTCTCTGGAGTCCCCGTCACACCCCCTCCACCTGCAGAAACGGATCCCGGCAGCCGCCAGAGCCCGGAGCGCAGGGACGCGTGCTTCACCGGGTCAGGGGGATCAGCAGTCTACCGTGGGAGGCCTGAGCTGCGCCAACACAGACCGCGCACGTCCAACCCTAAATTCTGCCTGCTTGGCGAGGTCTTCCAACGGCGGAGACGCGTGAAGTGTAGCTACCCGTCTCCAGGCAGGGAGTGGCACCCCGTGCTTTGCGGGGTATAAGCAGGCCCTTTTATTCCCTCACTCAAGGTCACC